TTTAACTTAAAAAATATAATATTAAGATATTCTTATCTATTTAAAGTTTAGAATTTCCATGATATTAAAATTTTAGATTGAACATATAAATTTTATAAAGATAAAATTTAAAATATCATAATCTATTCATACTTTGGATTACAAATATATTATTATTAAAATATTATCATCTTAAAGTTTAGTATTAAATTTTTTAATTAAAAATTTGCATTATTTAAAAATAAAATTTATAATATTATTATTTATTTAGAAAATATTTTATATCTGAATTATTTGATATATATTTGATTTTTTAATTCAATTTAAATAGAAATAACTTTACATACTTATTAATCATTTATATAATAAATATCTTAATAAATTTATAACTAGAGATAAAAATCTCATATTTATATATATATATATATATATATATATATATAGATAGAGAGAGAGAGAGAGAGATTGTCTTTTTGTGTGTAGAAGAAGGTGAAAAAAAAAATGTCCAGTGTGGATACTATTTTTGAAAAAGAATTAATCTTTTTAATCTAATGTTATACTAGACAACACGTGACATTAACTATAATAATTAATTAGCGTATGTTTAACATTAGAGAGATTCATTTATATTTTTTTTTTTAAATATAAATGGTTAAATAAATTAAAAAATAATATAAAAGCCTAAATAAAAATAAAAAAAAAAGGAAAATAGTATACGAGCTTTTGTTTTTATTTAACCCCATAAAAAATAAAATTGAAAGATGAATGAAATATAAGAAATTGTTTTTGTAATTTAAAATTAATAAAACAGAGTCTCTCTCACCACCAAAGACAAACTTGGGTTTAGGCCTTAATGTTCATCATTTTGGAAATTCGTTTGACGTACGAAATTAGACAAGCTTAATTAATATATTGTTTTGTTATAACATTAATTTAAAATATTTAATTTATAAAAAGATGCATTCAAAGGTCAGAAAAATAAAAAAAGAATGAAAATGTTGTGAATGATACGACAAGGAAATTAAAGCCAAATCAATAAAAAGAAGAGAAAAATTACACAACAAAAAATCACATGCATGAGTACATACACAACAAATTAAAACCCATTAACGATATATTAATGTTCTTTTTAAAAATAAAAATAAAAATAAAAATAAAAATACCCAGCAACCAAACACGGTCATAGCAGATGATGAATAATTAATAGGTTATCTTCCCTTGGACCTCAAGCTGTACCATCTGCTGCAACACACAAATAAGCTTGATGATGATGATGATGATGATGATAACCAATATATATAAATAAAGGTGACTATATAATTATGTATAATGGAGAAAAGGGTCCTACATATGATTTGACAAGTAAGGAGTAAAGGAGACAAGGCATGGACCCAGATGGTGAAAAACACAAATTGCATGCGTTTGGTTGATTACATGTTGGATTTTATTTTGTTTGAGCCATCCGGGATGTCTAGCCCACCACTACCATCATTGGACCATCATCAGATTCAACCTCACCTAACTCTTGTACCTCACTAGTACGTACAACAAGAAAACGTTACCCAACATACACACACACACACACACACACACACGTATTAGCATCATCTCATATACACTTCTTAAATACATTCAAAATGATTTTTGAATTTTTTCTAGTAAAAACTTCATATGTTTATTAATTATATGACATTCATGGTGTTGTTGTCTGGTTCAATGATTAGATGGTCAATCTTGGAATATTTAAATGCACCTAGCTAGCTTGTTGTTATAATAAAAAATATATAACCTAATTGAATACATATATATAGACACACGTTAATTAATGATGAGATTAGAAGAAAATTGTTGATTATGACAGACCTGGAGGTTGAAGAAGAGAGACAGTATCAGCGGAGAGAAGTTGGATGTCATTGGATTTATGAGACTTGCCTTCAAGCTCTGGGTGGATCTTCCTCTTCAGCATCCTCTTCATCATCTACACCCAATAAACAAAAATATCTCTTATTTCCGTTATTATGTAATATATATATTCACCATTCTCGCACAGCCATTTGTATATTATTATCTATTAATTAAGACCATAATTTGGTTCAAGTCTTTTCAATTCCCCTTTTTCTTTAACTTTTCAAAGTCCTTAATTCTCTCACGATGATAACAAATCATTACACGTTAAAAGAGATTATTAAATCACTGAGACTTAAAGATATAGAATTAACTTTTTACAAAATAATTTATGAAAGAAACACTATTGGAATAAATTAATAACATATAGTCGTGTATATGTAATTTGAAAGAAAAGACATGCATATAAGTACGTAGACAAAAAGATAGAGGTAAAGGAAGGGTATAAAATCAGCTCACTTGTTGAATTTTCTTGATGGGACGTGAATCGTCTCCAACATGAGGAATCAGTTTCTTAGCGAAGGACAGTCCATTCTTGGTTCGAATACACGCTTTCTTCGTCACCTCGAACTCATCACCACCTTCAACCTTCTTCTCCATATCATCAGAATCCGCCATGAACAGCTCTGCAAGTGTTGTTCTTCTCTTCTGTACTGCTTGTTCAATCTCTGTCGTCACATGCACAATTGCTCCTAATTCAACGCTCATGATTAACTCATCACCTTTTCTCAACCTTTCTTCATCATCCATATTCGATCTACCTTCGTCGAATGTCCTCAAAATTAATGGGTTTACTTCTTCATCTTCAACCTTTCTGCTTTTGTTGTCTTCTTCTTCGTCTTCGTTGTTGTCGTCGTCGCTGATGGAAAATTGGTCTGCATCTTCATCATCATCATCTTCGGCGGGATGAGTATTTTCTCCTTCATTGTAATCCTCATCAAGTTCTTCTTCTTCGTCGCTCCCTAAAAAGAAATGTTGTTTTTGTTTGTGGGTATTTTTCAAGGGATCAAAACCAAAGGTGCCAATTGTCAGAATGCCATCTTTCCAGCCTTCAAGCACATCGACAAAGGCTACTTGTTCTAGTAAGGCTTGTGTATTGTTGTCAATGGCGATTGATTCAGTCTTCTTCACATTTTTAGCAAGCCCATCTGTCCAAAACAGAAATAAAATAATCTTAGATGAGAGCAGACTAATGCAAAACAGAGTAGTGATAATAATAGGCCTTTCATATAATGAATATATTCATTATATGCATGATCAAATACCATTCTATTTTAATAATGAATAATATATGGGACTTACCGTAAATCCCATTCAACCCAAATAGAAGAAAAAAAAAACCTTTTTAATACTATATATGGAGTTGAAGTTAACAAAGTTCAAACCTTTGATCACGCTCTGATGCAGCCTCCTTTGAACCCAATTGAAGATCTATTGACAAACAAAAGGAAAAGCATTAAGTTTACGGGCGGAAGAAAATTTTTGAGAGAAATTGTGTAGATTATGATGCAAGTTTGTATGTAACCTTCATTTTGTGTGATAAGCCGAAGTTGTGTTTTGGGAAGGAGCAGATATTGGTACAGGAGGAAAATGGTAGGCAGTCAAAGATAAGTAAGTAGGGGAAAATGGAGATCTGAAGCGGGGACCAAAATGAGTGGAGTACTGAGATGGTGACACGTGTAAATGTGGAAATGTAGGACCCACAAAATAGGCCTGTCTTGTGGTTGCATGGCATGTTTCGTGGAGTCTCCATTTTGGGTCTGGTTGGCTTGATCGATATGTCGAAATTCTCCAAATCATCTGTACAGACACTTCATTCCTCTTTCTCTCTCTCTCTCTCTCTTCTTTCATGAACATGCAGTGAAAGATTATTATTTAACTAATCTTTCCCTTTTCATTGATTAATTGTTTTTTTTTTAAAAAAAAAAAATTAATAGGAATTTGCAAATCCTAAGTTAATTTCTACTTCACAGGTTTTCTCTATTGCTTCATGTATATTTGTTTGTAGTAATTTATATTGCATAGTCTATTATTATTATTATTAAGTACAGAAAGTATATATTTATGTTAGAAAAATTAATTTCTTAAGCATGTACAATCATAAATAAAGTAAAAACATAAAAAAAAAAACAACACAATATTTTATGTGATTCGACAGTATACCTATATTTACAGACAAGACTAACAAAAAAAGTATTCTATTATAATAAAAAAAGAGTACAACATTTTTAAGTTAGCAAACTTATATATAGGGAGGCTTTTAGGATTTTTTTATATCCCAAAAATACACATAATATTAATTTTTATGATAATTATAAAAATATCATCATTATTAAAATATCAAAATTTAAGCCATATCAACAAAGCTTCCTCTTGGCTTGAATTCTCTTCAACATCAAAAGAAATGATCTTCTTATCGTTATGTTTTGCCATGATGCCTAGTCGAGGGCACTAGTGAGTATTACATACTCCAACTAAGTCTAGGCAATGCCTAAACTTGTTAATTGGGATTACCTTGGTCATCATATCCGCGAGATTCTCCTGTGTAGAGACGTTCTGCACAACTATAATACCCTGTGATACAATGTTCCGGATGAAGTGATATATGACATTAATATATTTTGTTTGCTCATGGTACATCGAGTTCTTAGTGAAATGTATGACGCTTTGACTATCATAAAACACTGTCAACTTTTTATGTGTTAACTTAAGATCACTCACCAAACCTTACAGCCAAATAGCATCTTTTACTACTTCTTTTAGAGCCATATATTGAGCCTCTGTGGTAGACAAGGCTATTATAGCTTACAATGGTACCTTCCAGATGATAACACTTTTAGATAGAGTAAACAGATAATCTGTCATATATCTCCTCTTATCCAAATCCCTTACAAAGTCTGAATCCATATAGCTTACAATTGAGTCATTCATCTTAGGTTTGTCAAACATTATACCTATGTCTACTGTTCCCTTTAAGTACTTTAAAATTCATTTAACTATTTGCCAATGTTATTTTCCAAGATATGCCATGTATCTATTCATTACGCTAATTATATGTAAAATATCAGGAAGAGTACAAATCATGACAAACATGATGCTACCTATGACACTCGAGTATGGAACACTAACATATGCTTCATGTCTTCATCTGTCTTCGGTGACATGTTTACATACAACTTGAAGTGAGTACCAAGTGGAACAGTTATGGGTTTTGCATTGGTCATGTTGAAACGTTGTAGTACCTTTTCAACACATGATTGTTGAGACAAGAAAAGTTTTCCAGCACTTCTATCCCGAGTAATCTCCATTCCCAATACCTTCCTTACAGTACCTAAATCTTTCATCTTAAATTCTTCACCCAATCGCCTTTTCAAAGTATCAATCTATGATATGATATGCTTTTAACAATAATAAACATGTCATCTACATACAATAGCAAATAAATAGCATAATCATCTAACAGTCTCCTGTAATACATGTAATTATCATAGACACTACGAATGAAACTATTCTATCCCACTACTGTATCAAATCTCTTATACCATTGTCTAGACGACTATTTTATATCATACAAAGATTTCTTAAGTAGACAAACATATTTTTCCATACCTAGAATAACAAATCCCTCGGAATGACTCATATATATCTACTCCTCCAATTCACCATGTATAAATGCAGTTTTTACATCTAACTGCTCCAACTCTAAATCATGAAGAGCAACCATAGCAAGTAAGACTCTGATGGAATTATGTTTCATAACTGGAGAGAGTACTTCATTAAAGTCGGTCCCTTTTCATTGAGTAAAACCTTTAGCTACTAATCGAGCCTTGTATCGATGTGTTTATGTCCCCATAATGCCTTAATTCTTCTTGAAAACCCATTTACAGCCTATTACCTTATGTTTCTTTGGTAATGGCACGAGTTCTTAAGTCTGATTCTTGTGAAGTGACTCAATTTCTTCACCTATAACACCAATCCATTAATTTACATCTAAACTAGAAATAACTTCACTATAACTTCTATGTTACTATAAAATAATGGTCTCTGCTACTGCTAAGGCATACGCAATTAAATTTT